TATCCTTAGTTCAGGTGTTGATGCAGGCCAGTCCTGGAGTAACAATTTACATTTGGATGGGGAGAATCGCATCCCAAACATCCTGGTATTATTACTGAGTTCCAACAGAAGACTCTGCATTTTGCCAGCGTCTTCACCAAACAGGACTATGTCATCTGCGTATTCTAAGTCGCTTAGTGGTCCCCCTGGTAGGAGATCAATTCCTGTAAATTCAGTCGAAGACAGTGTTATTTCCAGCAACAGGTCTATAATGAAGTTAAACAAAAATGGGGATAGTGGACAGCCTTGACGGACACCACTTGAGGTTGTAAAATCATATGACAGTTCGCCATAAGCTCTCACTCGACTGGTAGTGTTCGAGTAAAGAGCCTTCACAAGGTTTATGTACTTCTCAGGTACACCTTTCAATGACAGACACTGCCACAGAGTCTCTCGGTCTACAGAGTCAAATGCTGCTTTCAAGTCAAGAAAAACTATCATTGTCGGACGCCGATAAGCGTGTCTGTGCTCTAAAACTTGACGAATGGTGAATATGTGGTCGATACAGCCACGACCAGGTCTGAAGCCAGCCTGATTTTCTCGTGTTTGCAGTTCACGAGTCTTAGTTAGGCGCCCGATAATTATTGAGGCTAGTATTTTAGATGCTATGTTGGTCAGACTAATCCCTCTATGGTTATCGCAGGATGATTTTGACCCCTTTTTATATATTGGGACAAACAGTGATTGTGACCAGTCGGATGGGATTACATCCGTCTCCCAGATTTCAGCCAGAATATTAGTCAACTTAATCGCTAAAATTGGACCACCATATTTATAGACCTCTGGAGCCAATCCATCTGGACCAGCTGCTCTTTCTCGTTTCAGATTACCTATAGCCTTTTGAACTTCAAGTAGGGTCGGGGGGGGCTACTTCAATGTTCCATTCAGGTTTTCTAGGAATAGTGGGTAGTTGTGCAGTAGCTGAAGGACAGCTAAACTGCTCCTTAAAGTGTTCCGCCCATCGTTCTAAACGTTTGGGTTGAGAGCAGATAAGGGTTCCGTCTTTTTCGGAGATTGTCTCACTTACACTTGACTTCTTAATTCCGGTTTCTTTTATTAGCCTGAATAGTTGCCTGGTGTTCCCTACAGCAGCTGCCTTTTCCATGTCTTTTACTTTCGTTGCCCACCACTGCTCACGATCGTTCCTTAGACTTCTAGTTAACCTAGATCTAATTTGTTTACGCTCTTCGTCATGTTCAGAGCCTGATGGGATGAGTTTACGCGAATCCATCAGTGAAATAGACTTAGAAGAAATCCATTGGTTTTTTGGAGCCCTATGGTTTAAATGACTAATAGATGTAACTGCTGTTTCCACAGCTATTCGTATGTCTTTCCAAGCAGCATCTGTGTCAGTCTCGTTTACAGAACTGCCTAGATGTGAACTCAGTTGTCTCTGTAATTCGCATTTGGCTTTCTCGTCCTCCAGTTCAATCCTAATGGGTCTTCTTAGTGTACTTTTCCTGCGTACATTGAGGCGCAGACAAATGCGCGCTCGTATTAAAGCGTGATCAGAGTCTAAACAAGTATTCCAATACGAGCGACAATCTTCTATTGAGCCTCTTCAACGATGACTGATGACAATATGGTCTATTTGAGTCCATCGTTGGTTTGGTGCAGGTGGTCGCCATGTTAGACGATGTCTCTCCTTATGCTTAAAATTAGTGCTTGCTAAAAATAAACGATTGTCTGAGCATAGTTGCAACAGACGATCACCATTATCGGTCCGTTGAGCCGGAATACTAAAACACCCACCTAAATGTCTTTCTGTTTGATTCAAGCTGCCTACCTGGGCATTAAAGTCACCCGCTACGACTACTATGTCTGAGCGCTTAGCTTTCTGAAGAAGCTCAGAGAGCTTTCTGTAAAAGTCATCTTTCACTTCATTATGGCTGCAGTCAGTGGGAGCGTAGGCAGAAACGACAAAAAGGCAACGACGTGTGTCCCTATCCTTCCGAGTTCTTACGGAGCCATTCAGCCGGACAGCACACAGGCGACTGTTAACGGGGATCCATTCTAATAGTGCCTGTTCTGCCCTTGCACTTAGTGCTATGCCTACACCTGCAAGTCCACGAGAACTAGCCAACGGGTCGCCAGATACACGGAGAGTGTATTTCGTTGGCTGTCCATTTTGACGAGGTGAGGTCAAGTGAATGACTACACTGGGATCCTGTATGCGTGTTTCGGAGACACAGCATACATCAATGGTACGAGATTCTAGGGTTTTAGCTAAGGAGGCCTGTTGACCGATTTGGCATAGGGTACGTACGTTGAAGGCTCCAATGTGTAGTTTGGAGCGAGGTTTAAGTAGACCTGGGACAGCGTTTCGCGCACTAGAATCGTTTGCCATGGTGACACTTGAGGAGGAAACCGGAACAGGAAGTTTAGTGTTGAAAGTCAAGGTAGAAGGAATTGAAGGAGATTGATTATGAATACGGTGGTCTTGAGTGCTGTTAGAGGTATGAGGGTAGTTATCACTTCCCGGTTGCCCACACCGTGGAAGGCAGGTAGTTTAAACCGAACAGAAAGACATTTAAGTGGGTGTTTTGATATTCCGGCTCAACGAACAGATAATGGTGATCGTCTGCTGCAACTGTATTCAGACAATCGCCTATTATTAACAACCACTAATTATAAGCATAAGGAATGACATCGTTTAACATAGAAACCCCATGCACCAAACCAACGATGGACGCAAATATACCATGTTGCCATCATTCATCGTTGGAGAGGCTCAATAGAAGACTTTCGCCCGTTCTGGAATACCTGTTTGGACTCCGATCATGCTCTAATACGAGCACGTATTTGCTTTCGCCTCACTCCACGCAGAAAAACAACATTAAGAAGACCCATTAGAATTGAACTCAGTGACGAGAAAGCCAAACGTAGATTCCAGGAACAACAGAAGTCACATTTAGGTAGTTTTGAAAATGAGGCTGACACAGATGTTGCTTGGAAAAATACACAAACAGCTGTGGAAACAGCAGTGAAACCTATTAACGATTTAAACCAAATGGTCATGAAAAAACTAATGGATTTCTACTAAGTCCATTGCACTGATAGACTCTCATCAGGCACCGAACACGATCAAGAACGAAAACAAATCAGATCCAGAATAACCAAAAATCTAAGGAACGGCCGTGAGCAGTAGTGGGTAACGAAGGCAAAAGAGATGGAAAAGGCAGCTGCTGGAGGTAACACCAGACAACGAAACATGGCCATTAAGATTAGAAGATACTCGTAAGTTACTAGTATTTGACCATAGATGTCTTGGAAATATTGCCCACATCTGCTGAGATTACTAGGTAAGTAATAGTGAGGTTAGACTCACGGTATTAGGGAATGATGGTAAATCAGTTGATCAGGTTGTAAATCTCCATCGACTGAAATGATTGGGCCACGTGGTACGTATGTCTGAACACCGGTTACCACGACGCGCAATGCTAACTAGTGTTGGGGATGGCTGGAAGAGTGTTAGGGCGACCAAGCCAAAACGTGGCATCAGTGCTTGAAGTTACTAACTTCTGGTCTTAGCAATGTTGGTAGGTGCAGACTACTTGGTTGGGGTCCGTGTGACTATCGTAACCAATGGTTGGAGACTCTGGGTGACATGGCTCAGAATCGATCACAATGGCATAGGCGTATACACTCTTTGTCTTCCCTTAAACTAAAATTGCTTTATACCTTTCTTTCTTCGAACTAATTCCTTCTTCCTGTACTATCTTTTTGTACACAATCTTTTGTATATTACTACAATTGAAGTAATTGCTTATATGAATTTTTTGTTTTTGTTGTGCTAATGAGGTGTGGCAACTTCGACCGATGCACATATGTGCTTGGTCCTACGTTGTAGCTGATTGATGGGTCTCATTGTTTTTGTATGGCGTATATGTATTTGGTGCCCCCTCGTACCAATGTTTGTGTGTTCAAATAAAATAATAAATGATAATATGTGCTTATAAACACTTATTTTGGCATTTTCGCAACTGACTTCTGAGCAGTTACATTCCCTCATTTTGTTTCCCTGACAACAATGTATATTCTAAATAGTGAAATGACGCGCTTGATGAAATATAGTAATTGATGTTGACTAGTATTCAGAATCCTGAAAATTAATTTCCAGATAACGCATTAATTTATATAATGTGAATGTTTTCAAGGAGCTACTCCTGTATTTCGCTGTTCTGAAAAATAAGCTATACAACTGTTTCAGTAACACTGGTTCAGTAACTCTTCAATAATCAGAAAACACATTTAGTAATATAAAAGCATTTCACATGTTAAAGTGCTTTAATAAAAATCTATTTGCCAAGAGTTTTATAGCTATTAGATGTGCTTTCTAAGTGCATATCTGAATACCCAGGAAATTCACTCAATTTTAGAAAGAGACTAAGATGTATAGTTGAATGAAAGATAGCTTAGTGTATACTACTAATATATTTCATAAAGAAATTGTGGACTGACGATGTTGTCGGATCCACTTATTTTAAAACACCCACTGTAAACGGTTGCTGATAAACTTAACTTGCTAACAAATTCTTGAAAAACACATCACATTTGCATAAATTTAAGTATTTCTATGCATTTCCAGGTGGTAAACCGGAGAATTCTACTTGTAACTAGTTTAGCGAAACTCATGAGAAAAAATTTGAAAATAGAGATAGGTGTCATTGAAGTTAAATCCAGGAGTAGGGGAAGGTGGTGATAGAGTAACTATAATACATCGATATATATGTTTATACGCATTGAAACTTGACAATTCCGATGATAATTTCTAGCGCAGTTAAAAGTTTGGAGATCTTCCAAGAGCAGTATAATCTCTGGGTTTTCTAGTCACATTTCCCCCCAAAATAATGAGTGGGAACTGCTCAAACTCGGCGAGATTTTCCTCAAAGTTGGAGGATTGAAAACCCTTACACAAACACCCAAACATTCTGAAAAAAACGTAATGACCACGAAATTACCGGCAATGAGGGCACTGGGACCGTGTTTCCGTGATCCATTTCTACAAATTCAGGCATTATTGAAAAAGGGCTTACTCTTATACACTTGTAGCAACACAACTTCGAGCAGTGTGGACACAAACGGGCGTTATTAAGCTTCTCCATACATATAAAGCAGCGAAAAACTTCAGACAAGCTCTAAAAGCGGACAATCACTTAACCATATAAGTCATACTTCAAACGTGTCCACACCATTCAACTTTTTGTCTCTGCGAGATTGTGCCATTTCTACGCCAACAACTCTTTTTTTGTTGAAACTAACTTTGTTTTTTTCTATGGAATATCATCTATGAGAAACACGGAAAAGTAAGGCATTGATAGACTTGCATCTGTCGTGAATATGCGTTTTCGTTGGATAAAGGTGATGAAAAGCCAAAGAATAGGAGAGCGCTTTGATGACCCAAATGTTGTAATAGATAGGATATATAACAATCAAGAGTGAACAAATGCGAAGTTGAGGTTATACAGAGGCAACTAAAAAAACTACTAAGAGTAAGGTTCCGAATGCATCACAAAAACAAAACATACAAACTGAGTGCACCTGGTTGGAGGGTATATATAACGTAATTAACGTATTTAAACTGCGCTGAGTAGAAATTGCAAAATGTTCATTCCATAAGATATGTGTCTGACTTGCGAAAGAAATCGCCTTGTTGCAATTTCGCATTATCTGAATAATAGTCACTCATTAACGCGAAATAATGAAAACACCAGAAATATGCACGACTGTTTAATACCTAGAGTAGTCTTCCTCAGGACCATTGAAATTAAATAAAATTCCAGCTTTTTTTCTAAAGGACCAATATAAGGTTTCATCTCTATCAGTCAAATTGGTCAGTTCCACATTTGCAGATTTCATTTATGAATATGTCCTCATGTATTTTTGTGTGTCCTCTTTTCGGTTTTTCCCTAACGGGATGTAGTTTTATGTGACAGATCATTAGTACGCTACGGTATGTAATAGAGACATTTAAAAGGCAAAAAGTACATGCTCATTTTGAAATATTATATCTGGGCGAGCATGTGAAAGTGGATTGCATTAGTTCGATCCCATTGATTATCTTTTGCTTAGTTGTGTGATTATTTTGAGTGCCTTATACGTGAATCCTTTGAATATTGCATTGCTTAGTTGCATTTCTACCTATCTGTTTTTCTACCGACCATATTCTATTGCTACACTTACTTACTAACGCCTGTTAACCCTGGTGGAGGAGCATGAGTCCCCGATCAGGATTCGCCATCCAACTTTGTCCTAGGAAATCCTTTCCAGTTGTTATTCATCCTTTCCATATCTGCTTTCACTTCCCGACGCAGTGTGTTCTTCAGTCTTCCTCTTCTCCGTTTCTCTTCAGGATTCCAGGTTAGCACTTGCTTAGTGATGCAGTTAGGTGATTTCCTCAATGTATGTCCTATCCACTTCCAACGTCTTTTCCTAATTTCCTCATCGGCCGAAAACTGGTTTGTTTTCTCCCACAGTAGACTGTAGTTGATGGTACCCGACCAACGGACATTGAGTATCTTACGTAGACAATTGTTTACAAATACGTGTACTTTTTTGATGATGGTTGTAGTAGTTCTCCACGTTTCAGCTTTGTACAGTAGAACTGTCTTTACGTTCTTATTGAAGATTCTCACTTTGAAATTAGTTGAGAGTTGTTTTGAGTTCCATATGTTCTTCAACTGTAGGAATGCCACCCTTTGCCAATGTTTGTCATCACATCTGCATCAGATTCTCCTCGTTCATCGATGATGCTGCACAGATACGTGAATGTTTCCACTTCTTCCAGAGTTTCTCCATCAAGTGTGATGGGGTTGGTGTTCTCTGTGTTGTGTTTGAGGATGTTGCTTTATCCCTTGTGTATGTTGCGACCTACTGATGTAGAGGCTTATGGTACGCTGTTTGTCTTGACCTGCAATTGTTGGTGTGTGGGCTAGAATAACTGTGTTATCTGCAAAGTTCGAATAGTCTAGTTGCATCCCAACTGTCCATTGTATTCCGTGCTTCCCCTCAGATGTCGAGGTCTTCATAATGCAGTCAATCACCGGAAGAAAGAGGAAGGGGGAGAGGAGACAGCCTTGTCTGACTCCGATCCTCACCTGAAATGCTTTTTTCAGTTGTTTCCCATGCACGACTTTGGACTGTAGTCCGTCGTATGAATTCCTGATGATGTTGACGATTTTCTCAGGCACACCATAGTGTCGAAGAAGGTTCCATAAGGTTCTCCTACCTAGGCTGTCAAACCTTTTCTCTCAGTCAAGAAAGTTGATGTATAGTGACGAGTTCCACCCAACTGATTGTTCAACGATGATCCATAGTGTCGCGATTCGGTCTGTGTACGACCGAACCTTACGGAATCCAGCCTGTTGATCTCGAATGTGGGCGTCTACTGAGACTTTCAGCAATACTCTGTTGGAAACCTCTCCTGGTACTGACAACAGTGTGATTCCTCTGTAGTTCTCACATTTGCTCAGATCTTCTCTCTTCGTTATTTTGATGAGGTGTCTCTCTTTCCAGTTTGTCAGTGACACTTGTTCTTCCTCCCAAATCTTCCTGAACAGAACGTGGAGCATGTTTGCAGTTGCTTGTATATCTGACTTCAGTGTTGAGTAATCGATTGAATCAAACTCGTCACTGTAAACTTCCTTGACTATGGGGGAGGCATTCCACAGTACCGATGGGAAAGCATTGTGAAACCTTCTCCGGCAATATGGAGCACCTGAAATAATAATCACCAGCTAACGGAATTCATATAAGGGACCGAATTGTAAAGTCCTGCACGGGAGACTGCTCACATACGTATTTCAAGTAAAGGCTTGGATCAGAAAAGACCGTTTACTCTCATCTTTTCTGTTTCTGCTGGTTGTTGACTAGTGTGGTCATTCATTTTATCTCATTTGACCAAAACGAGGAGTCAACGAGATACACCCTTCTTTTTTTGCCTACCTGACGGCAAGTTCTCGTGGACTGGTGGGTGTTGGCATAGCACTGAGTGCCAGGGAAGAACAATCACTCTTAGAATGAATGTCTTTAACGGGGAGTGTGTTATAGCGCATGAATTTGCACCTCTCTCTCTCTATATATATATATATATACGTCCAATGATACAGGAAATACGTACGAGCATTCTTGGGTGCAATCCGGTTCTTCCTATCTGCCTAGCCCCGCCGTTAAGTTCAGAACACAAATACAGCCTCGGCAATATGAATCATTATTCACAAGCATACTGGGTTTATATACTAACCAAAAAGACCAAAATATACCAAAAAATAGAAAGATAACATTTGTACAATAATTGGCCAATGTGTCTGTAGATAGGGGGAAAGTAATCAATAATAATAGTTCCAAGGTCAAAATAAAGGTTATGATAAGAGGAACACGAATACGATTAGGTCACTTATTTAACAACTATCCAATAGGAATTAGGCATATTACATTTGTCCATAAATAGACCTCAGATTTACCATTCATAATTCACCAGGGGATATAACAGAGTGCAATAAGCCAGATGGACCAATCAAGAAGAAAGGGAAATTAACCACTGAGAACCAAGAGTAGTGAAATAAGTGGACAGAGCGCATTGAATATACCGGCAGCAGTTGTACCACACAGTGTGCCAGACGAAGTACTGGCATCTCTCTGATTACGAAAGCAGAACAAGCACTGTTATAATTTATCTCTGTTAACGGTGGTCTGTTTTTTCGGCTAAATGGGTCCGTGATAATTCAGAAGTATAGGAACGCTCGTCGATTCTTTTTCGTCATTAACGCCCTACGCTCACACTGACTGCAACCCGGGTGAAGTGAAGGATGACTTTTACATAAAGCTTTCTTGACTTGAAACACTAAGCCCTCAGACATAGTACTCATGGCAGCTGAATTTAATGTCAGGCATGTAGTTTCAGCTAAACAGAAAGACATTTAAGTAGGTGTTTTTAATATTCCGGCTCAACGAACTTATAATGGAAAATATACGAACAGCTGTGGAAACAGCAGTGGAACCTAATAATGTTCTAAACTAAATGTTCATGCAAACACTAATGGATTTCTACTAAGTCTGTGACCCTGACAGACACACGAAAAACTCGTCCTATTGGACTCCTAACACGATGAAGAACGAAAACAAATCTGTGGGGAGTAGTGTAACGTCGTGTACTATATTGCACCTACATAGCTTATTCTAGTTTCTGGACAAGCCAACTCACCTATAACGTTATGAGTCATATTTTGATCTTGTTAATTATTCGCTTATTGACCTTGACTATTTTTTTATATGAGCGCATGTGTATGCACCCTTCTTATCCTACCTATCACATGTCTGTCATTCATTTTAGCCTGACTATAAATGTTAATTAATGCTTGCTTATAACGAGTTGGCTTCCCAACCATCTCCACTCTGCGTCATCTTTCCTTCGCTTGCTTACATTTGCTAAAGTGCTCACTGCCTTCTAACCCATGTTATTTATCAATAAAAATGTAGTTGCTGCTTCCCTTTGTCTTCTGATATTATACACCGTTCAGATTGTTATAATAACGGTTATCAAGACGATCGATTAACGAAGCACTACACTACATATTGGTAATCCCGACGTACGAACACGCAACACATATTGGCGATCCCGAATTACGAACGCGAAGCAAAGTTGGTAACTTCAACGTACGAACTCACAACATATTGGTTAGCCCGAAATTCGAACACGTAACAAAATTGGATGCCTCGCCGAACGAACACTCAACATATTGGTTAGCTGTATTTGGAACACGCAACGAGCGAACACAAACCAAAGATGGAACCGTCGACGACATATTCTGTTATGATTCAAATAATCATCATATGCTCATTATTACAATAATGTCATATAATCATCTAACGTGGAATTATTATTTTTGTTCGTATTGACATTAAACTATGACATTTACGTAGTCATATCACTAATCGAACAAATTATAATGATATGGACATTACACGTTATGATATTCGAAACTCACTGCATTATTTTTATTATCCAATGACGAAACTTTTTCCTGATTCGGGTGAGTTCGTTCCAATTTTTTTCATGTCATTTTCGGCTTAATATTACACTCTATCATAGACATAAGTTTGGAGTCATACTCCCGATAGTAGGAACTTATGTTCTCGATAGACAACTGATGTTCATTCATCTCATCGGTACTCAGCAATCGTCGTTTTCTACTTTTTACGCGACAACCTTAACTGAGCTTCAGCAATTTTGGTTTCACGATGATCCCTACTTTAATGTCTATACATAAACCAAGTATTTGACGCCGCATTACCAGCCGATTAGTAATGATTATGTTCATATTATCTATTCATTCACATGTATATCTGAATGCTGCATCATCCATCACCGATAATCACAATTCGATTACTGCAATTAATATTTTATTTGCATTGTACTGTACACCAGAACATAGAGTTTAGAGCTAGTCTCTCAAAGATACACTCTTGTTCGTCACATTCAAGTCAGTCTCACTCGCTGTCATCGACAATCATATGTATTGATATTTTTATCATGCCTTAAAACGGTTTCGTAACAAATGAGGTTGAGCGCATATCCCTCTAACTACACAAACCACGCTAGGCTTCTAGACCAAAAAGGAATACGACTCCGCATATCTCGTCTCAGCAGTCACTATCCTGTTCCTCTGGTCATTCTACTAATACATATTTAACGACAACT